GAAGGGTAAAGCTCAGATAGGCAAGATGGATGAGATCCTTACGGACCCACACCTAGACACTAGGATTAAGAGGTGTATTCTCTTGAAGGTGATTGTACCTAAGCTAGAGTATGCAGGAGAGATATGGGAAGGTAACGAAAAGGCCGTCAAGCAGCTGGAAACGGTGCAGATGGCAGCGGCCAAGAAAATACTAGGATGTTCAAGCACAACGAGCAACACTGTATTGAGAGCAGAATTGGGAATGTACTCTCTTAAAACAAAGAGAGACATGCAGAAGTTGAAGTGGCAGTACAAGGTAAGTAGAATGTCGGACGATAGACTACCAGCCATGGTTGACGAGGCAGCTTGGGGAAAAGCGACTCCAGGGAAGAAGGGAATCAGATGGGACAAGGTGGTAGAGAAGGTTTGGAAGGAGATAGGAGACGAGGAGGAGACGTTGGACACGGAAGGGTTCGGGGGGTTCAAGACGAAAGTCAAGGAGATGCTAGAGAGTAGGGAGGAGACAACCCTTCGCAAGAAGGTACGAAGCGAAGACCACTTGGAGATATACGGGAAGTTGAAAGAAGGGATAGGGATGAAGAAGTACTTGGACGGCCCCATGGACTATGCGAAAAAGCTGAAATTGCAATTTCGAGTAGGCGATCTGGGACTTGCCAGAACGGAGGAAGAGGTATACCAGCCGTAGGAGAGAGGAAGAGGAGGATAGACACACATGTCCATGTGGCAAATCGGAGGAGAGTAGACCCCACATAGTTGGGGAGTGTGAGTTGTACAGGAAGGAAAGAGAGGATCTCGAGGAGGAAATGAGACAGAGAGGGTGTGACATGGACAAGTTTGGTAAATTAGACAACAGCGAAAAAACGATCGCGATAATTGGGGATAGATGGTGGGCACAAGAGGCCCTAGAGGACGGGGATAAGATGTGCAAGAAATTTTTATGGAGTTTGTGGCAGAAACGTAAAGAGCTCCCAAATGTTGGTGGTGTCTCTAGTAGGTGTAGGAACGGTGCTCCGTCTCGAAAGGGACGCGTGGTCAATGGTCAAATGACTACGGCAAGCAACAAATGAGTACGCCCCCCCCACCCCCACCCTCACGCCTTCTCATCTCCACAATCCACGGATTGTTCTACGGCAGGCAAGGCAAACAAAAAAAGAAACGAAAGCAGGACGCGCATGCGCTACCAAGGCCAGAAGAGTTTAAAACCTCATATGACAACCAAGACCATGCACACATTTCAAAACTTGGAGAAAGACAAGGTGTGACGTCTAGAAATAGATACTGTTACTTACGGGCGTCTGCCATGTGCTAGAATAGAAGTACTACTACGGCCTAGATGTAGCGTCCTGCCCATGGTGCAATTAGTTCTTCTTTGCGTGCTCCCAGAGCCACTCCGGGGTGACCGACTTGGGTCGCTCGAGGGGCAGCCCCAGGGCGCGGTCCCAGAAGAGCTGGGAGAGGGCGCCGATCCCACGAGAGACTCCGAAAAGCACGGTGTAGTAGTCGTGCTCCGTGAAATCGTAGTGGCACAGGAGCACCCCCGAGTGGGCATCCACGTTGGGCCAGGGGTTCTTGACCTTGCCTAGCTTGGTCAGCACTCCCGGCACTACCTGCGTTGGGTGTGCGTGTGCGTGTTTTTAATGCGTTGCGTGGACAGCAGCGGTCGCCTTGGGTGTAGAATTTGCGGCAACTCAACAGGTGTACGGTGGATGGAGGCCATTGGCGGAGGTAAACATGGACATGGTGTCGCTACAGTATATATTTACTCTCTTATTGTTCGCACCATGAATGGACGTGCATCGCTCGTGGACGAATGGGTGCAACAAATAATCAGCGCCGATGTACATGTATTTCTCAAGACCAAACTCCATACAAACAAAAAGAGGCATGCCACGATTGGCATGCGAGGCGTGCTATGAATCGCACCAAGGCACGGTTGCACAAGCACGTACCTCGTAGATGGTGGAGACGATCTTGAACAGGTCGTCGTCGGGCAGGTGCTTGAGCGCGAACTGCCGTTGCGCCATGTACCTCGGGTCAGTCTTCCGCAGTACCGCGTGGCCGTACCCGGGGATAACCTTCCAGGTTGGTTCAACCAAGAAATGGAAACGGAGATGGAAGAAAGCGGGGGGGGGGGGGGGGTTGGGAAAAACACCCCTCCCAAAAACCACAATGAAACAGCCGCCACCCCCTCCGAACGCACCCTCCTAAACAGGGCCCTATGCCTTTTGGGGGAAGTGGCCATTTTTGCAAAACCAAA